GGCCTGATTTGACGTATAATCGGCGTGGCTAGCGTATATCGGAGATTGGCAGTTCAGTCAACTTGTTTCGGATGGTTAGAACCAAACCAAAACCAAGCCCGATGAAGCAAAATTGAATAAAAATGAAACCAAAACAAGCGTGTGGACCAGTGAGGCAACCACCGGAGGGCCAGGGGCAGCAAAACGCACACCGTGAGTGGAATGTCTGATGAGAACACGAGAGAGAGAAGATGTGGCTGGCGCATGAAGAGTAGGTGGGAGATGCGGAATGAAGGAAGGAGCGGGGAGGGGGGGGGTCTGAAAGTTTACTCTATCTTCACTCATCAACATCCAAATGTGCCTGCCACTTAAGTCACATGCGTCAAAATGATTTGACGGTATTTTTGATCCTGCCCTTTCTCCTAAGATTGTTAGGCGGCGAGAAAGAGAAGCGGCCGCGCCTCCTAACACGCACGCCGACCGCAGGGCGGGCTACTGAACTGATGTTGCTTTTGATCTTGGACAAAGAAAAACTGAAATTGACAGGGCAAGGAACACATGTCAAGTAACAAGGAGACGCAACAGAAGCACAGGACCCAAATAGACTCCGAGCTAATGATTAAATTCTCATGGAGACGAGACAGCTCCGAGATGGCGAGCAGGCGGAGGGAGCTGACAGCGAAGGACTGATGTGACGGATAATTGGCGGGGCGAGCGGATATCGGAGATTGGCAGTTCAGTCAACTTGTTTCGGATGGTTAGAACCAAACCAAAACCAAGCCTGATGAAGCAAAATTGAATTAAAAATGAAACCAAAACAAGCGTGTGGACAAGCGAAGGCTGATAATTAAAACAAACCTAAAACAAAAAAGAAACAGAAGGCAACATGAAATGGACTTGCCAAAATAAAGGAATCATTTTGAAGGAAGGGAGTCTGTGGCAACACATCACACCTGGGGCACGAACGCAACCAGAACAAGCGAAAAACCACAACAAACACGACAAAATAAAATACAAGAAAAAAAAAACAAACAAACCAAAGGCAAATAAAACCAAACACAAAAATCAAACTAAAACAATCCCCGCAAAAAAAGCAAACCCAACCCATATTGACTTAAAAAAATGAAAATAATGACATAAAAGTGACCGCTGTCCCTCAAAGGGTTAAATGTTTTATTTGTTAAATAAGGCTGCATATGAAAAAAAAGAGAATGCAAAAACTCCATTTTGATGTTATCACGCAGTTTGTCTCCATCACAAGACCTTAACCCAGTTACTATGGCAACCGCCCCCCCCCCCACACACACACCCCAACAACCGCACGTATTGCGCTACTGCGTGAAGGCTCCGCTTTGAAAACACCATTTCAACAAGTTGAGCAGAGGTCAACCCAAAAGCGAGTCGTCCCAAACCAAGCAACGTGAATTCTCGACAAAACATAAAACAAAACCGTCCTCTCTCTCTCTCTCTGTCTCCCCCCACTTGGTGGCGGGGCAAGTCGCCGCCGGAGCCAAACTGCCATCGCTTTGTCTTCTCCTCTCACCGATAGATGCTTCTGACCGCCACGCTGTGTGTGGGAGGATTACCTTCGAGCTATTACGGCGCAGTTACGCAAAACACAGATATGCACATAAAGGCTGATAAGTGGGAAATGTGATACGGGTGACAAGGTGGTGTGGGGATTTTTTTTTATGGTGGGCCGTAAATAATGTCGAGTTGGTGGCCATTATCATATTTCAGGAACGGCGGAAACGCTGCTGGTGGTTGCTCTGCAAAACTATCTTTCATCATGACGGACAGGAAGATGATCACGAGGTTGCTCCAAGTCCCAACCTTAAAAGTTGTGCTTCAGGAGTTGATGCAACGCTGCATGGAAATGGCTCAGCGCCACCTTGTGGATGAGGGTAGGAACACGTGAGCATTTGTTTGAGAAGGTAAAGAACATTGAAGATCGTGTTTGCAAGGACTCAAGGTAACATCAGCATTCTACCGCCCGCCCCCCCCCCCGCACATTTCCACTTTATTTTGAAAAACAAGGCAACCCCGGAAGTCAGTCGCCCAACGAAGACCATTAGTCACAATAATAATTAAAAAGACTGTACACTACTTACAAAACAGCGCAATTAAAATGTAACTTAACTATGTAATTGTGAAACACGTAACAAATCAAAATCAAAGTTTTTTTTTTTTTTTTTAACATTCGACAATAAAATACTATCTTCTGCGTTTGGCATCGAGAAGTCCAGGCGGGCTCCCATTTTATGGTGGTTCACTGTAAAAAAAAAAAAGTTTTACAAATAAAAAAAACAAAGTCAGCTGATAAAAAAAAAAAAAAATACAAATAAAAACAATCACATGTCGAAACAGTGTGACAGCTGTGAAAAAAGTGCTAGGCTGCCACCTTGTGGACAGTAAACAACACTACAATACCACTGTTGAATTTTCATGCACTTCTTTAATATATCAGTTTCTCATATTCACAACAAATACATGAAGCTCTTTCTCCTTATGATACAGCCTTAAATAATTCATTTTTTTTTCTTTTTCTTGTACACGCAACCATTTTGAAAACGTCTGAGCGGACATTTTAAAGTCTGTTCCGTGTGGAGATCTCCCATGCTTTCCTAGAAGGTGGTCAGGATTTTTTTTTTTTTCTTTTCTTTGTACACTATTTACAGATGGACAGAGGGAAATGAACAAAACATGTTTTAAAGACATGATAGTTTGGCTAAACAGAATTAGGTGGTGTTTTTTTTTTTTTAAGGTGCAGGCAGCAAAGACAAAGGGAGGATCGTATACAACTCACTTCGGCAACGGAGGTCACTTTTAGGCAATTTCGAGGCGCTCTTATCCCGAAAATAAACGTTACAGTGGGAGCAGAGTTATGTGTGGGGGGAGGGAGTGGGGGGGGGGGGTTGAACGAAAAAGACATGAAATGAAAAACACGTTTTCAGTCACTGCTTTTGAAATAGCAAACTTCCAACTTCAAACCGGAACAATCATTTGAACCCTCTGGAAGTGTATCGGACACTTTTGCCAAGCAATTGCCGTTTAAAGCGTGTTTGCAAACAACCGAGTCACAAAGCGTAACGTCCACAAAATAAAAAGCATGTACCTTGTGATTTTTGGGGGGGGGGGGTGAAAACCAGCTTGTAATATTTCTGTGTTGAATATTATGATGACCTTGTACTTAATTTTTTTTTTTTGTAGAGATAAGAAAAAAACGGGAGGTACATTGGCTAGCGATTTTTTCATGTTTTGCCATTTCTGAGATTGACAATTAGCATAAACCTTCCCTGTGCAAAGACTGTCAAAAAAAAAAAAAAAAAACAGCATATTTTTGTATGTTTTTTTTTTTGTTTTTTTTTTAGCCAGACACCCCCGCCTCCCCAAAAATGTGAATACATGCCTTTCACTGGAAAACAACTTCGACCTATTATAAACTCATTCCAAATGACTCATTAAACTCGAAAGTTTGACAATGATGTTCTTCAATGGGGCTGTGCATTTTTGGAGTGGCTGAGACAGATGAAAAAAAAAAAAGATTCTAAACCAAAAGTTAACGTAAAACACAGACCATATATCACACATAATTAAATAACTATTGTAAAAGGAGCTGCCAGGAAATGAAAAGCGAAGCACAATCTTTCGTGAACACTTACGGGGAGCAACTACGCACTTCAGATCCAGAAACAACCAAAAACGCGAGCTCAGCTCTCTTCACTTTGGATACACGTTACTAAATAAAAGCGGTCTGACAGAGGAAAAAAAAAAAAAAAAAAAATCTTCGCATCGGGTCCTGCGGATGCCAAGCATGTGATGCCACCGGCTTCGAATACCACAATGTGCTTTGTCAATTCCGGACAATAATAATAATAATAATAATAATAATAATAACAACAACAACACACAAAAAAGGCAAGTTGCGCATTTGCTTCAATTAATTTCTACAAAGTGCAATGTCTAGAAGTCACAGACTTGGCAAGAAAGCTTCAAAATAATTCTGTAAATTAGCTTGTAAAACATAAATGACAAATAAATACTGCTGGTTGACAGAAAAAGGCAAAAAAATAAAAATAAAAAAAAGCACATTTTGGAATGAATTCATATTAATGTGACCGAAAGAGCCGTCTTAAATACATAACACTTGAAAGGCTCGCTGGTCTTTTTGTCAAGTGACACCGCAGCCCGTTTAGTCGTGCTAGTTTTTCAGAAGTGGGATCCGGACCAGAGTGCAATATTAAAAGCCACATAACGCACCAAAAAAAGGGAACGGAAACAATGACATGCACAAAATGTGCTCCTCAACTTAGAGTAAAGTACTTTAAAAATCAAAATCCGCCACCCCCCCAAAAAAAAAAATCCCCCCCTAAATTTGAAGATATTCAGAAACAACAATTTCCAGATCAAATGCTCAGTGCTTTAAAAATGGAATGTGGATCCAACTTCTATCGCCCCCCCCCCAAAAAAAAGTAGTCATTCCATCACCACCAAAAAATTTTTGTTCTATCACTCAAAAAGACATGCATGCGTTGCTTTTATGGCCAACAAAAATTGCGTCGCTTTCATTGCGTCCCCCAAAAAGTTTTCGCTTCAATTGCCCCTAAAAATAGGTTCACGTCAACTGCTGAAAGCATCGCTTCGGTTGCCCCCCGCCCCCCCCCCAAAAAAAATTGCATCACCCAAAAAGGTGTCGCCTTTATCATACAAAAACGTGTTACTGCTTTACAAAAAAAAAAAAAATAATCACTTATATCGTCAAAAAAAGTCGTCGCTTGGAACGTCAAAAAGTTTTGTTGCTTCAATCACCAACAAAGTTTTTGCTTTTAACGGCAAAAAGAGTTGAGTTGTTATGATCAGCCCCCCCCCAAAAAAAAAGGTCGCATCTATCGCCCAAAAAAAGCTTCTTACCGCAAAATAAAAAAGCTTCTAACACCCACGAAAAATGTGTCTATCAGCAAAAAAAAAAACAAAAGCTGTTTTTACGTGCCGACGTCTCATTTGATGGAGCCATTGCACCTGTCAAAACGGTCTCAAACACGATTTTGACAAGCGGACCGCAAAAAGCAACGAGCTTCGCTGCTGGACTGAAAGTTTGCTCCAAAAATCCGAACTTCTAGCAAGCACTAGATAAAGTCGTAGCATGACAAACTTCCGAGTTATATATAGAAAAAAAAAAAACTTACTATATCAGTGCCCTTTAACTCCTCCTGTACTGCTTTTGAGGGCCCCCCCCCCCCCCCCCCCCCTGCACTCACCCCTGCTTCTCAGCTCATCTGGCGAGCCTGCAAGCGCCCGGCAGAGCACCGCCCCCTGCAGGCCTCCTTCCAAAGTGCAGCCGGAGCCGCAGTCGTATCCCGTCACCATTTTCTTGGGCGGGCTGGTCCACCTGGCAAGTTTGCCCCGCCTCCAAATGGTTTTGGTATGGATATCTTGGGTTTTCTTTACCATTTGTGATTTTTTTTGTTAAAAATCTTTTTTTTGGGGGGCGGGGGGTTATGGTTTGATGTTTTCCGCGATTCGGTTTGCCCGTCGCTTTTGGCTAGTTGCCCAACGGACGGCTTTGACGTTGGCAGGAATCTTGTCGCCGGTCGAGGAAGAAAACAGCACATTCGTTTAAGACTACGTTTCAGTTTTTTTTTTTCTTCCCCCCTCCCCCTCCCCAAGTGATGAATTAATCCACAGCAAGGACGGGAGGGCTTCGGAGCGGTGACGAGGGATGGGCTGGTGAGATGCACAGCACTTACTTGAATGCTGAAAACTCCCCTGGCCGGAAAAAAGAAAAAAAAATAAATTCATCCTTTTATGCGCCATGTAACGTGAACGGCTTAAAAAAAAATGGCCCCAGGCAAGCTCAAAGGGTCGACATATCCGAGACTTATGGGACCTACCGTAGCCGCCCGCCTGGATGGGGGTTTTGGGTGAGGCGCAGGCGTATAAGCTGAAGTCCTCCGTCTGAAAGCCGGCTCGGTTTAACGAAGGCTCGGAGGCGCTGCGGTGGATTTTGGGTAACGAGCGAGCCAGCAGCTCGATGGACGCCAAGATCTGAAAAGATTCCCCGCTCGTCGTCACGTCGAGGATTTCGTCACTCCGACACTCGCGGACTAAGTTCTGGCCACCCATATAAAAAAATAATAATAATAATAATTGTGGTCATAACCCTCACCTGAGGGAAGAGCGGTCGCTCCTCTCTCTTCTTTTTCAAACAGTCGGCCATTAGTCTCTTCATGGCCTTTGGGCAGTTGCTACGCACCTTGCTGAGGTCGGGCGACAGGTAACCCCGGCCCACCATGAATATGATCTGCGCAACATTCCAAAAAAAAAGTTTTACGAATAAAGCGCTTCAAATATACATGCACAAGTGAGCGCAAGCCAGCATCTCGCCTGATCTCTGTTGTTAATGTTGGAGTAGGGCAGCGCTCCTGACATGAGTTCGTACAGCACAATGCCAAAGGCGTAGACGTCGGACTGGAAGCTGTACGGATTCTTGTCCTGAAGCCGGATCACCTCCGGAGCCTGAAGGGCGGACCGCATTGCTTTTACCGTCGCCGGTCACAAACGAACGACGTCCGATTCGAAGCACTCACCATCCACAGAATGGAGCCGGACAACTGCTCAAACTGGTGGGAGCCGCTCCAGCGGGACTTGACCGTGGCCAGGCCAAAGTCGCCGATCTTCACCGTCAGATCCTCATGGAGGAAAATATCTGCGCAGGATGCGGTGAAGGAAACAGCCGCGCCGCGTTTTGAACACACAGTTGGTTAAACCGCATCTGGGATGCGACAGGCCCCTGAATCACCCGCCTTGACGTCTGGAATTTTTGGCCTGTTTTACTGCCTCTTCTCCCACTTCAGCTTCCTCGCCCGACTATTGAGATCCAGCAAAATCGGTCTCGTTTAAAAGATACTGTTGCTCTTCAGATCACGGTGGATGATGGACTTGGCGTGCAGATAACTAAGGAGGAAAAAAAAATAAATAAAGAACGACGGCTTTGTTGCCACGTCAACGTGCCGCTGTCATTATTTGAAAGGTGGAAGAGGCGGAGTGTGCTTACTCCATGCCCTGAGCGGTCTGCCTGGCAATGTCGATGAGCTTAATCATTTCAAACTTGGTCTCGATGATGTGCAGGTGGTGGTAGAGGCTGGAGCCTTCGCACCACTGCGTCACGATGGCCAGCTGAGGCTTGGTGGTGTAGCCCATGAACAACAGGATGTTGACGTGACGCGTTTTCCTACGAGGGGCGCAAACGAGCAACAATTCAGGGGGTCGGCCATTTTCGGCGTGGGAGGGGTTAAAAGCGGGACGTTGCTGTGTTGGGAGGTTACCTGAGGACTCCCACTTCGTTCTTGAAGGCCTGAAGCTGTTGAGGTGTCGGCGCCGTTACGTTCAACATCTTCACTGCCACGTCACCTGAATGGACGATGAAGATATTCGTTTGTTTGTTGGTTTTTTTTTTTTATTTGAAACATAGATGAGCTCGTTTGGAATTGATTTTCGACCTTCTAACAGCGTTTTTTTTTTTTTATTCACCCTAAGGTGGGTCTCTGGTTATCATGGTGGTTACACCTCTTTTTTAAAAATTATTATTATTTTCAAAGGGCGAGAAATTCTAAACCGGCAACAAATTCTATACGCTCATTTGCTGACACCCACGTCACTCACCGGTCTTACGTCACAGACCCTACGGTCGAACGTGAGGACGGTGAGTCCAAAAAAAAATAATACCTGTACCTCAGATGGACGTTGTTGTGTTTAATAATGCAAAAGACATTTTTATCGGATTCATCGACAGCATGAGCGAGCCGTTGCGACGACGCCACCTAAAACGCGGCGTGAAAGTGGTAAGCAGAGCTGCGTTCCAGTAGTGTGAGCATTCGTCCTACCGTGCCACTTTCCTTTGAAGACAGTCCCAAAGGAGCCGGAACCTATCCTCTGACCCAGCGTGATCTGCCCCTCGGGGATTTCCCAGTCGTCACTGGAGTCCCTCCTCCCCAGCGTTTTCTGTTGCACAGACAGCGTAAGATCCTTTCAAATCGAGACGGGGGCGGTCCCCGTTTCTCGCTTGGGGACCCACCATTTTATTGCGGTCCTCGGACGACGACGACGACTTGCGCTCCCTCTGCGGGCACGGCGATTTCTGGGGAACCTTGACGTTGGTCAGGGAGCCCGGGAGCGAGGCGGGGGGAGTGGCCGACAGTCCGGTGGTGGACCCTGAAGGGTGGGGGGGAAAGGGGGGGGGTAGAAGAGGTAGGCGGAAAGGTAACTCATTTGGAATGACGAGGAGTTGGAATCTATTGAGTGACATGCAGTGGAGACGTGAGGGGGGGGGGGCATGATTGATTGGATGGCATTACAGTGAAGCCGTCCCCCTTTTGGCGCAGTCTGGTGGAACCGTGGGGTCGAAGCCGGATGTTGAGGTGAGTTGAGGAGCTTCATTTTGACATAAGGCATCATTTCCCGCCTTGTTGTGACATCTATATGCGATCGCAAACCTTTTTCAGAGTGGGCGGGAGTCAATTCCTGGCAATTTATTTTTTTTTGGTGCTTATCCCTCACGGGTTCGATGGACTCCACTTCTCCAAATTTGTGGTCGAGAACTCCAGATGACCGCATTAGACCGACGATTGATGAGCATGCTTTTAAATTCGTCGCTCTTTCCGCACAATATTGGAGGACGTGTCAAGCTGACACGACGGGACACAAAGCAGAGTTAAAAAAAGAGTTGAAAGTAATCTTAGGCCACAATTTTTCTCCCTAATTTTTTTTTCATTTAATTCAACCTAAAAAAATATTTTATTGGGGGGCGGGGGGGATCCATCAAAAAATTTGTTACCTGTGAAGGAAATGTATTTACTAATATTGTATCATTATTA